TGGAATAGGCGCAATCCGACCACACTAGGAATTTAGGTCGCTCTAGGTAACCAACCAATTTGAGATGTGTCCTATATCTCTAGTTATCCTAGACAATATTAGTTTGGAGCAAGAGTTTAGATATGGAAAGATTCATCTCGAAGAATGTTTTCCTGCTATCTCCAAATTATGTTAGAGTTGTTTTAAAGTCAATGTTGTAATTGGCTTTATAAGCCCTCCTTGTTGATCTATTCAATCATGCAAGTTGAGTTTATCTCGCCACCTCATCGTCTCTCTCCTCTATCCCTTGTTGCTATCGTGATACACACAACTATCCAAGATGTGTTGTAAACAAAAGCCACACCCGCGTGTTGACTACGATGACTACTACTACAGCTCCAACCCAACACCCTAGTAACCAAACTAGTGACCGTTTTGGAACTAGTCTTGGTGATCTCACTGTCACTAGGACCATGTTCTGAGGTCTTCGTTAATAAATATTCAACATATCTATAATTTTTGTTATGTTCTTGCTATATTCGGGTCATTTGTATATAATTGTTGTTTCTGTTTTTGTGCATCGGAAAAATTATATATTCCAGGACCAAAAAGTAAACATATGCTACCTAAAAGAAGCACCGTGAGATTAGTTGGGCCAAAATAGACTAGGGAATGTGAGCCAGGGGCCCACACGACCCACCCAGCGACGAAGGGTCTGGTCGTGCCACGTCATTGGGTGGGGCCCAGAGGGCTCCCATTGGCAGATCTTTGTCCTGGTTTTTTTATATATATCCCCAAACCCTAACTCCGAATATGCATGAATTTTTCATGCCGCCATCCTATTTTTTTTTCTGATTTGGAACTCCTATGGCGAATAAAAAGGTGACGAGATTCAGATGTCAGCATCCAGAATAAAATCTTATCAAGGAGAGATCCAATCTCGAAAGGGGGCTCTCGCCCTTCGGGGGGAATGAGTGCCATGGACCAGGGGAAAACCTTTTCCCACCTATGAGGAGGGCAAGGAAGAATAAGAGGGAGGAGGCCTCTCTTCCCCTCTCTTCCAACAATGTTAGAGTGTCCCTAGGGAACCATCATGATCGCCATCGTCTCCATTGCGTCCGGCACCATCTCCTCCCTCTGTGCGGTGGTCCACACATTCATAAACCTTTGTAATCCCCTCCCCTACTTGAAAAATGGTGTTTCATGCTATAAATTATTATCCAATGATTTGTTGTAGTACTATTATTTCTGAGTAGTTTTCTTTAGTCATGTGGTTTATTTGTGATCTACTTTGATTTATATGATCTATATGCTATCATATGTTGCTATCCCTCGATACCTGATGTATGAGCATGTGCTTATGTTGGATCACACTTTAGGCTTAGCAGTATTTTGAGATGAATATGCAAAGAGGGTCGGAGTGATAGATATTATCGTGCCTGAGTATTAGAGTTGATGGACATGCGATAAAGAGGACCCATAAACCTTAATGCTATGGTTGGGTTTACCTTCATGGATATTTAATATTTTCATATGCTTGCTAATGGTTCCAATCATAAGAACATGTTAGCCACCAATTCAAAGAACTACAGGTCTCCAATCACTTGACGCTCGGGACACTACACTTGCTACTTGTTCTATTACTTTTTCCACCGGCACCAACACCTTTTGTCCCCCCTTAGTTGCAAAATGGAGAATCAATGATCCAGGAACTGATTAGTTTAATCGTACTCATGGGAATGAAACCAAAGTACTTGTTGTGAATAGATCTCCATCACGCCACGCTCGTGAGTCCACAACCTTCTCTTGGTAGACGATGAGCACAAGTTGCCACTTCTCCCCTCGTCGGAGCTAGGTACCTGGATGGAAGAGGAGCAGACTGGTCGTGCTAAGATCCACTAATGAGCATGGGTAAGCGTGTATCTCATAAAATCCTGGTGGACGTGGACCTAATGTGCCATCTTCTTTCTAGTGGCTTTTAGACCATTTGAAAGGTAGTTGAGTGGCGAGAACCACCCCTCCCCCCTCCCGCATGCGGTTATAGCATCTATAGTTGGATTTCACACATCTGCCCCCATGAACGTCCGTGGATGCACCATCGCATGTTTGCGGACAACACCAGATGATAACCCACAAGTATAGGGGATCGCAACAGTTTTCGAGGGTAGAGTATTCAACCCAAATTTATTGATTCGACACAACAGGAGCCAAAGAATATTCTCAAGTATTAGCAGCTGAGTTGTCAATTCAACCACACCTGGAAACTTAATATCTGCAGCAAGGAATTTAGTAGCAAAGTAATATTATACTTGTGGTAACGTTAGCAAAAGTAATATTTTTGGGTTTTATATTGATTGTAACAGCAGCAACGGAAAAGTAAATAAGCTAAGAATAATATATGAAAAGCTCATAGGCATTGGATCGGTGATGGATAATTATGTCGGATGCGATCAATCATGCAACAATTATAACATAGGGTGACACAGAACTAGCTCCAGTTCATCAATGTAATGTAGGCATGTATTCCGAATATAGTCATACATGCTTATGGAAAAGAACTCGCATGACATCTTTTGTCCCACCCTCCCGTGGCAACGGGGTCCTATTGGAAACTAAGGGATATTAAGGCCTCCTTTTAATAGAGTACCGGACCAAAGCATTAACACATAGTGAATACATGAACTCCTCAAACTATGGTCATCACTAGTAAGTATCCCGATTATTGTCACTTCGGGGTTAACGGATCATAACACATAATAGGTGACTATAGACTTGCAATATAGGATCAAGAACTCACATATTTTCATGAAAACATAATAGGTTCAGATCTGAAATCATGGCACTCGGGCCCTAGTGACAAGCATTAAGCATAGCAAAGTCATAGCAACATCAATCTCAGAACATAATGGATACTAGGGATCAAACCCTAACAAAACTAACTAGATTACATGATAAATCTCATCCAACCCATCACCGTCCAGCAAGCCTATGATGGAATTACTCACGCACGGCGGTGAGCATCATGAAATTGGTGATGGAGGAAGGTTGATGATGACGAGGGCGACAGATTCCCCTCTCCGGAGCCCAGAACGGACTCTAGATCAGCCCTCCCGAGAGAGATTAGGGCTTGGTGGCGGCTCCATATCGTAAAACATGATGAATCCTTCTCTCTTATTTTTTCTCCCTGAACACGAATATATGGAGTTGGAGTTGAGGTCGGTAGAGCGTCAGGGGGCCCACGAGGCAGGGGGCGCGCCCCCACCCTCGTGGACAGGGTGGGCCCCCTGATGTGGATTCTTCTTCCAACATTTTTTATATATTCCAAAAATAATCTCCGTTGGTTTTCAGGTCATTCCGAGAACTTTTATTTCTGCACAAAAATAACACCATGGCAATTCTGCTGAAAACAGCGTCAGTCCGGGTTAGTTCCATTCAAATCATGCAAGTTAGAGTACAAAACAAGGGCATAAGTGTTTGGAAAAGTAGATACGACGGAGACATATCAACTCCCCCAAGCATAAACATTTGCTTGTCCTCAAGCAATTCAGTTGATAAACTGAAAGTGATAAAGAAAAACTTTTAAAAACTCTGTTTGCTATTGTTGTTGTAAATATGTAAAGCCAACATTCAAGTTTTCAACAAAGATTATGAACTAACCTTATTCACAATAACATTTAGGTCTCATGTTTACTCATATCAATGGCATAATCAACTAGCGAGCAATAATAATAAATCTCGGATGACAACACTTTCTCAAAACAATCATAATATGATATAACAAGATGGTATCTCGCTAGCCCTTTCCGAGACCGCAAAACATAAATGCAGAGCACCTTTAAAGATCAAGGACTGACTAGACATTATAATTCATGGTAAAAGAGATCCAGTCAAGTCATACTCAATGTAAACTAACAATAATACATGCAAATTACAGTGGTGCTCTCTAGCTGGTGCTTTTTAATAAGAGAATGA